AAAAAAAAAAAAAAAAAAAACAGAATTACAGGAATGCGCTACAGCACCCAGCTAATTTTTAATTTATTGTAGAGATGAGGTCTCCCCAAGTTGCTCAGGTTGATCTTGAACCCGCAGGCTCAGGCAATCCACTCACCTCAGCCTCCCAAAATGCTGGGATTACAGATTGAGCCATCAAAGAGTGAGACTCCAACTCAAAAAAAAAAAAAGAGATAGTTCTCTTATCCAGTCAGGTACGGGGCTCCTTTGGCATTCAAACCAAGGCTCATTGACTCCAGAGCCAGTCTGGAGACAGGCTGAGAGTTGGAATTTCTGGATCATTCTGGAGACTGAGGACAGACCTGAGGCGGTGCCCTTATAGGTACTACCAGTGCTGGTGGTTTGAGCCAGCAGAAAGCGATGGCCTCCCGTGGAGTAATTTCTCTGGCTACCTCATCTAGAAGGCACAGCTTTGTGAAAACTGGAAAAAGAAGATTGGCAAACTGGATAAGTGACTTCAGTCTCTCTGGCAGGAGGCCAGAGGCAAAAGGCATTTGCTTCCTGCGGTCGACTGTTTCTACACTGTCAGACACTACGGACTAAACCTGGAAGGTGTCCTACTTCCAAGTCCCTACAGACATGGCCTTTTTAAATTGTTTTTGAGTCAGAGTCTTACTCTGTTGCCCAGGCTGCAGTGTAGTGGCATGCTCATGGTCACCACAGCCTTGACCTGCTGGGCTCGTGATCATCCGCCTCAGCCTTCCAAGTAGCTGGAACCCCAGATGTGGGTCACCACGCCTGGCTAATATTGTTTTTTTGAGCTGGAGTCTCACTCTGTCACCCAGACTGGAGTGCAGTGGCTGCTCCCGGCCATCGCAGCCTCGACCTGCTGGGCTCCGGCGATCCTTCCGCCTCAGCCTTCAAGTAGCTGGAACTACAGGCGCACGCTACCACGCCCGGCTAATTTTTGATTTATTGTAGAGATGAGGTCTCCCCAAGTTGCCCAGGCGGGTCACGAACCCGCGAGCTCAGGCAATCCACTCACCTCAGCCTCCCAAAGGCGTGGGATTACAGGGTGAGCCACCGAACCCGGCCTAATTTTTTTTTAAACTTTATTCCCTAATTTGTTTTCATTGTAGAGATGAAGTCTCGCAAAGTTGCCTAGGCTGGTCTCGAACCCCTGGGCTCAGGAAATCCTCTCACCTCCACCTCCCAAAGTGATGGGATTATAGGCACGAGCCACCAGATTCGGCTCAGACGCAGGTCTTTTTTTTTGTGAGTTGGAGTCTCACTCTGTCGCCCAGACTGGAGTGCAGTGGCTGCTCCCGGCCACCGCAGCCTCGACCTGCTGGGCTCCGGCGCTTCTTCCACCTCAGCCTTCTGAATAGCCGGAATTACAGGCACACGCTACCACGCCCGGCTAATTTTTGATTTATTGTAGAGATGAGGTCTCGCCAAGTTGCCCAGACAGGTCTCGAACCCGTGGGCTCAGGCAATCCACTCCTCAGCCTCCCAAAGGCGCGGATTATAGGCTGAGCCACCAAGCCCGGCTGACGCAGGCCTTTTAAAAGGAACATGGTGGCGAGAATACCTGGCTGGGTGGCCCCATTACCACAGTGTGGGGCTGAACTCCTGGCTTCCCCTGGACCCACCCTCCTGCGTCATCCCCACACCCCATGCCCCAGGCAGCTCCAGCCTTCCAGCAGCTCAGGCAGGTCCCACGCCTCGCAGTCACTGACTTCTCTCTGCCCCCACATCCAGCCCATCAGTGGGTCCTGCTGCTCTGCCTTCACAGCGTGTCCAAGAGCTGACCACTTGTCCCACCCCCACTCAAAGCCACCAACGTGGTCTTTTTAGAATGGTAAGTCAGACAGTTGAGCTCTCTGCCCAACGCCTCCTGGGGCTTCCCTCTTACTCAGTAAAAGCCACTGTCCTCCAAACAACCCACTAACCCTGCACATCTGACCCCGTGACCTGTCTTACCTTATCTCCTCCTCTCCCCTCCCTCCCTGGCTTCAGCCACATCGGCCAGGCAGGTATGACCTCCTCAGGGCTGTGACCCGTCCCTTTGCCTAAAGCCTCTCAAGCTAAATGGAATATCCTGGGGTGACTTTTCCCTCACTCTGGGGTCCCCTGCATCTGGAACACGGTCTTGCTCACAGTAGGCTCACAAAGGTTGATTGTATGTTAGCTCTTGGCCGGGCACGGTGGCTCACACCTGTAATCCCAGCATCTTGGGAGGCCAAGGTGGGAGGATTGCCATAACCTAGGAGTTCAACACCAGCCTGGGCAACATAGCGAGACCTCATCTCCACAAAAAATAAAAGTAGCCAGGTGTGATGGTGCACACCTCTAGTCCCAGCTACTCAGGAGATTGAGGTGGGAAGGTTGCCTGATCCCAGGAGGTCAAGGCTGTGGTGAGCCATGATTGTGCCACTGTACTTCACCCTGGGCGACAGAGACCTGACTCAAAAAATAAATAAAAAAGCAGCTCTCAGCCGGGCTCGGTGGCTCAGCCTGTAATCCCAGCACTTTGGGAGGTCGAGGCGAGTGGATTGCTTGAGCCCACCTAGTCACTGGCTAGGGGCTGTTCGCGGTGGGAGGGAGGCCACTTAAACTGCAGGCACTGTGGCTTCCTGATCATGCAGGCAAAGTGGCTCCGGAACCCGAGGGTTGTCACAGGCAGAAACAAGCGGGGCAGTGGAGGGGCTGCCCCTTCTGCACTGCAGGCCCGTGAGGGAGAGCTGTTTTTTTGTTTTTTTTTTTGAGTTGGAGTCTCACTTTGTCGCCCAGACTGGAATGCAGTGCCACGTTCCCGGCCACCTCAGCCTAAACCTGCTGGGCTCCGGTGATCCTGCTCAGCCTTCCAAGTAGCTGGAACTACAGGCACACACTACCACACCCAGCTAATTTTTGATTTATTGTAGAGATGAGGTCTCACCAAGTTGCCCAGGTGGGTCTCAAACCCGTGGGGTCAGGTTATCCACTCACCTCAGCTTCCCAAGGTGTGGGATTACAGACTGAGCCACCGAGCCCAGCTGACACTGATGACTTAAGCATGTCTGCTGTGCTGTGCTCCGGACAGTGAGCGGGCCCATGGTGTGCTGGTTCGACTCCTGACAGTGAGGTTGTTCCCAGTTTCTCATATCTGCAGCCACTCAGCAAGCCTCCACTTGGGGCACGTCCCGCCCAGAGGCCCGTGTTCCCTTCTTTTAGGGCCCTTGCCTGTCTGTAATCCTCCTGAAGGATGACTCCAGGTACTTGGCCTCTTTTGATGGACAGATGGACAAAGGACAGTGAGGGCTGTGTACTAGGCCTAGACCTCTTGGTACTCAGGCTCCGGAGTCCAAGGGACATAAGAGCAAGCTGTGAACAGTGGGGTGGGCCCTGGCCCTGGAAGCCTCTGGACATGTGTTGGTCCACATGAGCTGTGACCAGGGGCTGCTGGGAAAAGGCTGTCCACTGCCTCCTAACCCATCACTGTCACCGGCTCAAGGAGCAACTCCATTGCCAACAATGTGGTGGGAGCCCATCCTGGCCAGCACTTAATTTTCTTATTTCTTATTATTTTTTGAGTTGGAGTCTCACTCCATTGCCCAGGCTGGAGCACAGTGGCACGCTCACTGCCACCCCAGTGTCGACCTGCTGGACTCAGGCGATCCTTCTTCCTCAGCCTTCCAAGTAGCCAGAACTACAGGCGCACACTACCACGCCTGGTTAATTTTTTGATTTATTGTAGAGACGAGGTCTTGCCAAGTTGCCCAGGCTGTTCTCGAAC